ACTTTGTTCCAACATCGGCGCAGGGACGAGATTTGGAGGAGGTTAGGTGGCATGCCCGGGCGCGCATCTAAATTAGGCCGCTCAGCTCTAATCTCCATATGCCCGGGTGAAGCCGGGTCCCGCTGTAAAATACACGATGAAGTACGTTGTTAATCGTCGTCAAGGATCGCCCTCGACCGCATCGCGCAACAGAAAATACAAGGGAAATCGAACCGATTGAATTAAGCGCGGAGCATCGCGATACGAACGATGCGAGTCGTGTTATTGAATTTTCTCGCCGATTAGCTACACCGCGTTATTACAAGTGCTTATGTGCACCGTGGATAATCTATTCACTTGGTGCTAGGAACGTCAAGTATTTTCGACCCGTGAGCGCGATCGAACGAAACATCGAAACAAATCGTTCACGTCGCTCACAACGGCTCACGGAAAAAAAAGATTTGCTGTCACAAGTGGAAATCTCTCTAGTCCAGCAAATCTACACTAGCTGTAGTACACGGAGAGTAAGTTTGCTATGCTGCAGTAATTAAGTCGCGAGTTAATTACTGCATAATTAATAGGATTAGAGATTGTACAGTCGCGGACAAAAAGATTGTTTGAGGTAACTTTTGAGATGAATTTGTGAGCTTATATGTCTCTTGTCTTCTATTAGAAAATGGATTCTGCCAATTGAACAAGACGAAGAGTTTCCAAACTCACCCCAGAAATTGCGAACAATCTTTTGTCCGCGGCTGTACCTAAAATTTAATATTACAGCATGGTAGATTTGTTAATATGGCAAAGATGATTATTATTATTATTGTGAAATATAATTTATTAAATATAGTATAATTAAAATATAATAATTAAAAGGATAATAATAATAATAATTAAATATAATAATATAATTGTAATAATTAAATATTATAATTAAAATATATAATTAAAATGACATTTTTTGCGACTTTAATAGTAATCAAAGTAAAATGCATATCTGCGTATTTAAAAGAAGGAAATTAATTAAAATATAATAATACTTAGCTCTTTGAATATGCCTGGCAAAGTTTCGTGATAAAATATTAAATTCGTTTTTACTTATTGTATTTCCTTTTTAATTCACAGCAGATACAAATTAGATGTATCCTGTATTGTTCTTCAAAATTTCCCTGAGAAAATAGCAATAAGAAGAAAAAGATCCGGAGATATCTATTAAAAAGAAGTATTTCCTGTGGGGAATCGCGCCAAGTTATTTTAAATCATCACTGAAGTAGTTAGTGTACCTCTCCGGAAAACGAACAAACATATTTCTTCATTATTCATCGAAGTGTATGAATTGTTTGGTAAAATTCAATTTGAATTTATTTCGCAAACTTCAATTAGTTTGAAATCATTTGTTGCAATAACTAAGATAATATCAACATAAATGGGTTTGCTGTCTATAAGTAAATTGACAATTGATTCCATATTTTCTTTACTTTATTAGTCAATCTGCTTAATGTTTAATTTTATCTAGCAAACTATAGATTTGCTGAATCAACAGAACCATTTTTTGCGTGAGACGTATCGTACTTTAAACACATAGTGGCGATTTTTCCATCGAACGGTTTAAATCGAGAGATAACGAGAAAACTGGCTGCTACTATTTTTTTCCGCAATTTTCCGTCACTTCGCGTGCGTTAATTCGTTAAAACTATGGCGTATGTTTTACTTTCGATTTATTGAATTTTTTCAACGAGCTCGTTGCAACCGACATGAATCACTAATGCGACGGATCGACCACGAAATGTGAAATAAATCAGCGATAATCGTGCCGTCAATCCTCTGTATAGACTTAAGGCTCTAACAGACCACTTTGTGGCGCCACAGAGAAGCGCCACAGACCCGTACAAACGGGCTACTCTTGTGGTGTCACAGAGAAGTGCTTCAGAATGATATATATATATATATATAAAAGTACAAATTTGCCACAAGACCGGAAGAACACGAAGACACAAGGATTCCACTTTACACTGGAATTTCATGTCACGTGTTCTTCCGGTTTTGTAGCAGATTTGCGTTTTATGTATCACTCTGAAGCGCTTCTCTGTGACACCAAAAAGTCGCGCTAGAATTCCTCAAGTCAGAGTTAGGACATAATCCGCCATTTGTAGGGAGAAATTGAGTGAGAGCGAAGCTAGAGTGTTCTTCGTCATTTCAGTCTTAGAGCTCCTCTCTCACTTCTACTAGAGTTTTTCTCTCATTCCTACTCATGTTACCTCTGAAAATCGTGGTCATTAAATTCCATATGAAAAAGATACAGCCCAATCAGGAATGAACATGCTTTATCCTAACTCTGACTAGAGAAACTCTACGTGGCGCCACAAAGTAGTCCGTCTGCGCTGGCCTACGGTGCTTCTCTGTGGCGCCACAAAGTGGCTCGTCCATCCGAGCCCTTAATTCCAGCCGGGGGCAACTCTTGCGGTTAGGCTCGACGTTTCCGAAGTGAATCTACCTCGATCGCAGGTCGGCCAGACGGTCGCCTTTCGTCTTGCGTTACGCCTTGACAAACGCACGTCATTACGCCGTCGGCATATCGAGCAAACGAGGTTATGAAAAATTGCCGGGAACGATACTCTCGGCCTTGTCGCTGCGCTGGAATCATCTAAACGCTGGCATCAATTAAACGTGACATCATCGTTAAAGCGACATTGGACAGCTCGCGGCGATTTTTTCTCTCGTATAAGAGAAAGCCCGATGCTGCCCGATCGGGTAAAAGACCGGCGACATTGGTGCGACAAATATTTTGATGTTTGCGCTCGAATTTGGCACACAGTTCTCGCATGTGCTGTAACCCAAGCTTACACATTATACATTCCCCTGTGCACGGCCATTATTGCGGGGGTGGTGAAATATTATCGCGACGGATTTGACAGATGCCACGCGCGCCTCGTCGCGAGAGATTACTTCGTGAAGGTAGCGCGTGCGGCCGGCAATATTTCAGAATGAAAAAACAATCTTTCTCCATCAGAGAGCGATGCGACGTGTCTCCGCATCTCGTTTATTAAGCGTCACGTGGTGTCATAGGATGCAATGCGGGCTAATGCTGCGAGAGGCACGCGGTAGGCTTCGTCGGGAAACTATTCGCAGTTCGCGCGAATCGGCCAACTATCACAAGTCAATACGTCACGTAGCAACCGTGAGCAGTGAGGGACTCGCAAAATTGGAATTTTTGGGTAACGAGCCAAATATAAAGTCCTTTGAATGCAATCCGCTGTGATGTTTCCGAGCGCGAATAATTCGACGTCTCTTTGCTCTCGTTGTCTCTCAAAGCGGCCAGGCTAATCGATAATTCTATTCATCTCTTTGTCTGTGACTTCAACAATAACCCGCGCCACCCGGGAGATATGAGGCGAACGCTATAAATTAGGGGAGATACGTAAAGACGAGTCTTTTTAAAAGGGCGAGCGATTCCACATCTTTAGCCGTAACGTCTCTCCAAGATACTGGAATAATCAATATTCTGCCGATTTGTTTGCCTTCTATTTCGACAAAAACTGAGGGTAAAATTCATAGTGTTGTGGCATTAGGTGATTAAAATGTTAATTGGCTAAAATAATCGACAAATCAAAAGTCACAATTGATTAATATATACAAAATCATGAGTGATTTAATCGATTGATGAGAAAAGTAAGTTAATTATTAATCAAATTTTAATTTTATTGATTACATACTGATTAATGATTAATTTCATCAATTGATTGAACTCCCAGAAAGTCTCATCCTTAGTCTCATCCTTAGGAATCTTCTGAATCCTAAAGGATTTTATTCTTATATATCGCCTCAAGAAGATCTTCTAAAACCAAAAGGAAAATGTTTTAAGCATAATTAAGCACAATTCTTCTTAAAGTTAGAAGAATTTTGTCTTTTATCGCATTTCCCATCTGCTTCAAGTAGACATGTTTCTGTTGATTTCAAAGAAAAAAGATTAAATTAAAATCATTATAACCACAAAAAAATATAATCTCATCTTTAACGGAAAGTCTCATACATGGTCTCGAGATAATTCTTCTAAAACCATAAAGAAAGTATCCTAAGCACAATATTCTTAAAGTTAGAGAAATTTTTTCTTTTATTTGCAATTTTGTTCTTAATAGAAATTTTTTTTGGTAAAAGAGCATTTTGCTTCAAGTAAATATATTTTTCTTAACTTAAAAAGAAATAAAATTAGAATAATATTTAATAGATTTTCGATTAAAGTCTATTTCATCAGAAGAGGAATGCTTTTTCCCGTAAAAGCTTTCGCTTAGAATATAGGATTACAGGAAATAGCACTTTGCGATTAGAGTTCTTATTTTGGGTGGATTATTTGTGATTATATATTTATATATATATATATATATATATATATATATATATATATAGTATATATATATATATATATATATATAATGATTGATTTATTTTTTTTATTATTGATTTGCCGATTATTTTAGTTAAAGAAAATTGTAAATTATTAATTCCCAATAAAAATTTCTCAGAGACATAATTTAAATAATTAATTAATGCCCAACGCTATACTCAGAAACGTAATTTAACTCTTGTTAATTAAACTCTGGCACTCAGAGACATAATTGAAATTTTATAAATTGGAAGATACTCGTCGACCAAAATACTTTGTTTCTAAAAATACGACTGTTATTCTTCTATTTTCAATTCTATTTTCTTTTCTATTTTTTCTTTCTTTCTCTCTCTCTCTCTCTTTCTATTTTTTTATCACAAATTAGTAAATTAAATTTTAGATGCGATCGGATGACAATATTGCGTAAATAAATAATGCACGTAAACAGTGCGTGAATTAATGCGTATGTTGCGATAAGTTGTCAGCGGGACAACGGTAAATTGCATTATCCTCATATGATTAATGCTGACTTTGACATCACCGCAACGTCAACTAGATTGATCAGTTATCCCATATTTTATTGGATTTGCGAGCCGAACCAAAGCAAAACACGACCGCCCGACCGATCGGCCAATCAACGTACCTGAAAATTAATTTGCAGAAACGCGGAATCCTCGTGACGCGAGTTCTATGAAAATGTTCCGGGTAGCCGTCAAGCGGGTCTCCCGTTGTTCATATCCGGTTAAGCCCGCGTATCCTCCACGTTGTTCCAGTTGGGGAGACACGAGCATCAGCCCCAAGTGCGCACTAACTCGCGACTAAGTCCTCTGTCAAGGATGTTCAATGATCGGACACTTGACATGTGAGCACATGAACGGACAAAATACTTGGACACATCGACGCACACTCCCGCGTGAAATCCGCGCGATCCGGATGGGAGTTATGTTTCTCTCTCTCTTTCTTTCTCGTGTGCCCCTCCGTAAAGTTTCAACCCTACGCGCGTAACAGAAGCCGTTTGGAAAAATTGCCCGCCATCCCGACAATAAAAAAGAAATCGCGTATCTCCGATGTGAATTGAATTACCGATAAACCGTATCTCTACACCGCGTGAGGCTGCCCGCGCGGCGCATTAGTCGCTAAAATATCGCCGTTGATGGCACTCTTATTAAATGTGATCCTTCAGTCGTCTGGGCACTCCTGCCTCGCGGTGTGTTGGGGATACTTAAAGACCGATTTCTCTCTGTCACCAGCACACGCCAACGCGCAACCGGAAATTCACTGATGCGGCCGAAGCTCGTCGGTCTCGAGACTCTATCGAGATTCGAGTCACGTCCGTGCTCTCTTCGGAGATCCCTTCGCACGGTCGAACTTCCGAAGCCGGGCCTCCCTCCGTTTTGCGTTGCGATTAATCACTGGCCCGCACGACGTCCCACTTCCACATGCGAATTTTCCGCGTGAGAAAATTCCAGGGATTATCTCCCCCTCCCTCTTCTTCTATTGCTCTCGCTCTCGTCGGGAGTATAATCCCGGATGGAGTTGCTGAACTCCGCTCTCAGTCAACGGGACGCAGACTCGTCAGGCATTGTCGTTTTTCGCGGCACTCGGCGAGAGACACGAAAGGACGCGATTATTCCCGTCAGCCCTCGATGATGACGGAAGCCGAGACCTCGTGCGCGTGTCGCAGCCGAGCGATATCCACGTGTAACATTCGAGTTCCTCGACGGCTCTCGGCCGACTGACCGAAAACGCGGCTACCTCGCGCGCCTCGTTATCCGCGCATGTGCCACCGCGGATATCAGACGAGATTTTGATGGAAAGTTCGGAAAAATTGGAGCTCTACTAATCAAACACGGTGCGGAGGTCGTCTCGTTCGCGGAGAATTCGCTCTCGCTGTTGTTTATTTATTTTGGAGCTTCTGCGATCAAGAGTCGCAATAACCGCGATTAGTTTTTCCAAGAATATATTAATTTACCCTCGCTTTTAATTGATTTTATTGCGCATCTTCCATCGGTCAGGGTTATGCTGCTCGAATGCTCTAAAAATTTTGGCTTTTACAAATGATATTAATCTGGACTTTTGTATGTTGTTGGAGCGGGATAAAAAGAGACAATGATAGAATGAAATAATAATCTCTCACGTATTTATTATATACTTAATTTCCATTCTAAGTATAATATAATTTTAGCATTATGTAATATTGTAGTTTTAATCGATAATCTCTCTTTACATGCAAAATGAGGAAATAATTGACAGAATCTGCGACATTCTGCATATTCAAAACCGATATATCGATAACTTTGCGGCAGAGTTATTGCGACAAGCGCACACGTCGGAATGGACATGTGACGTGATGCGGAGATTGATGATATCGTGCATATTAATCCCGCCGTGATCAAAATCCCATATCGCCCAAGCGAAATCGCAAGAATTTTCTCGCGTTTCGAATTGATTAAAGTTCGTCAAATTCGCCGAGGATCTCTCTCTTTTCTCCGGAGACGCGCTTCATCGCAATCAAGCCGCATTTCGTGGATTCGCAAGCCCTCAAGGGCTTCACTTCCATTTTTATTAAAAGAATAGTCGTGTCTCTTGTGTGATTTCTCCGGGACGAGTCGAGTCGTCGGTCGGCCTTTAAGCCCCATCTACATAAGACGCAGGACGCAGGTCGCCTCTAACGCTTCTGATTGGCTATCGCGACAAGCTTGCGACTTGCGACCTGCGTCCTGCGTCTTATGTAGATTGTTTTACGGTAAATTCGATAAACACGACTACGATATTGCACGCAAATCTTTCTGATTTGTATATGGTTTATGAAATCCGGGGGAAACCAACTGAATCTAATCTTATCTTCGTTCAGTCGTACTAAGCTTCATACCGTAATAATTTTCATTATCGCGGCGATTAAAGATTACTATGGCCCGAGACTCTCCTTGTCTCTTGCCACCGACAAGACACTCGAAGGTAATCGGCAAATTCATTGAAGCCGTCAGTGGTATTACTAGAGATACCTAAATTCACGTTGAGGGAAACACCTCGCTCACGCCGATGGTAACGAGAGACACGAGAGATTCGCCCGTTTCGAGATTGCTTCTTAAAGAGGAACGCAACGTCGTCGAAACTCGTGAAATGCGGTTCAGCTTGCTAATTGCGAGAAGCCCGGGCTTGCGCCGTTGGAAAGTAGGTTACGTTAAGCCCGGTTAAAAATGAAGGCAGACACACTCGTCAAAATGAATGCGGCGAGCTTATGGCTGCATCTGTGTCTGCCAGTGCGTATATACGAAATGAAAAGCGATGCCGTGTATTGCTCAACAATTTCAAGACAAATTTATTAGCAAATTGCGTGCTTACCATTGCGGCATATTTATAGTAGTGTTGTGAAATATATAGTTTTGCAACACCTACGCATTCTTTCTCTCTTTCACTTTCTCTCTCTCTCTCTCTCTCTCTCTTGTAGAATATATACAAAATGTCTGGATTTGAACATCCAACCGTTCATATACGGACAGAACTCGTTAAACTAAGTAAAACAAAATCTTCTAGTATTTCTTAAATTAAGATAAATGTATCAATGCCTGATCACTAGTATGTAACTCTGGATATTCTTATTGTTCTAGTCTTTAAATATAAATATTAACATTTTTAAACGTAGAATATATGTATATATTCGAATATATATGAATATATTTTACATTGAAAATTTAATTTCTCGTATTTAAAGACTAAAAGAAGAATGTCTAAAGTTAGATATTATTAGTGTCCAAATATTGGTATTTTTAACTCATTACGATAATGATGGCGATATTAATGGAAGAAAATTGGCCGATCGATGCGCGCGATGTGGTGGAACGAGCTAGACAACTAGACAGCTGAAGAGACATGTCTTGGAGTTGCTTCCTGATCTCCTAGCAACGGCAAATATAGGTGTTCAACCGCAGATGCATGTACACAAGACTCCACGTCACTCCCTGCATAGAAAGTTTCTTGGGATCTAATTGGGATCCGATTTCCCAAAACATTATGGGTTCTGTGATTAGAAGTGTAATATATATTATTCTAAGTGGGAAAACCCAAAAAAGTTTTCCCAATATTTTTTCTGCTCTTTATCTTACATGAGAATTCTACGAAACATGTTGGCTTTTCAAATAATTTCATTATTCAGTATTCATTATTCGGTCACTGAAAGTATTTTAAAAATATTTTATTTTTTAACATTTTATTCTATTGAATAAAATAGTTGATATAAAAACAGAATTCCATAAAAGCTTGTTACCATAAAAGTATACCGACTGAACAAAACGTGGATTCTTGTAGTATTTCTGTCTCGATTCTACACAGAGAACTCATGTTTAGAATAAGAATGGGACTCGCAATTGGTATTGTAGTGAAATAACAATTTTTGAGAAAAATTTAGGATTCTAATTGAAGTCTGTGCTACATCTGGGAAGGCCTTAGGAAATTTCTATACGGGAACGTTACTTTATCTGTCGCATTCGATTTTCGCCATTGCTAGGAGACACTCAATTATCCCAAGATATGTCTCTTCAAACTGTGTACAGTTGAGCTCGTCCCACCACATCGCGCGCGCATTGATTGACCAATTTTCTTTAACTGAGGTCTCGAGTGATCATCGTGATTGTTTGCAAATTGGTAGAAGACTAATTTCTATTCAGTTGAACGAGTTCTATCTGCACGAGCGGCGCTCCTGTGAATCCTACGTGACATTCTCACACAGTTCTATCTTATTTATTGATGCTGCAGCAACGGCGACGATGATGCATAATTCAAAGCGTTAGTTGGGACTAGCGTTCGTGACGAATGCGATCGAACGTGTGTTATATCTTCGCGTTTGAATAGAGGCTTTTGTGCACAAAATTCGCCCGTCCGGTGCTTTCCTCCGTTTGTGCGTTTGTGCGTTCCTGCGCGTTTCGCGGCATCAAAGCAATTTCCGCGCATTTCAGTCCAGAAAGCCGTAAAACACTCTTCTTAACTTTTCCAACATCGCGATTAAACAGTCGTCGAGCAGAGAATTTAAAAGAAAATTTAATTTAAAAAAATTATAGATAGAGCAATATGAGAGCCATCTTTTTCTCTGAGAAAAATGAAATGCACTGAGAGAAAAAAATTGATTGATCTAACTGAAATTATAGTTATTTTCGGCCACAACCATATTTTTTTGGTTATTCTAACGCATAAAAATAGTAGCAGAGTAACACGAGATTATTGTTACTGACATTATAGTAGAATTTAATAAAAAAATAGCTTTTTTGACCATAATTTATAGTGATTATTTCTCTATGTGATTATAATTATAAATTCACAACCATATTTTTTTAGTTATTCTAACGCATAAAAATAGTAGCAGAGTAACACGAGATTATTGTTACTGACATTATAGTAGAATTTAATAAAAAAATAGCTTTTTTGACCATAATTTATAGTAATTATTTCTCTATGTGATTATAATTATAAATGCTAAATATATTCTCAGAATGCAACGTGTTAATTGGTTGTCTTCGGAGTAGCGTGGGCCGGCGAGAGCGTCGCGTTTTCCGCGTCGCGCTGTCCGCGTGCGCGTCTCAGTCGCGCGTTAAGGTACGTCCATTATTACGAGGTATTTCCGGAAACTCGCGAGCGCGGCTTTACCGTCAAAGTGGCGCAGAGTGGTGCACATATATGTATGTGCCGCGGGCGACTTTTAATTAAATATTCAGTCGAACGTTCAACGGCGGCGTTTTGTTCGTCTAATTGCCGCGTTTACGCTCGATGCTCGGAAGACTCGGCATGATAATTAAAGTGATATCGATTTTTCTAATGAGACGTCAGCCCCGCAACCATGTACTCGCGCACGTGTCCTTTGCTCGGCTCGCCGTGGATTTTAATCCTACGAGCCACGAAAGCGCAACTGCACGCGACGTTTCCTCGTGTATCCGTGTGTGCATGGGTGAGTGCTTGAGTGCGCTCAGTCCGGTCATCGTCATTGCGGCGGATGCTACATGCAGTGGCCGTCGTGTCTCGTGACCGCAAAATCACGGCGGATTTTCGAACGTGTTCGCCGGCTCGAGAAACCGCAACGCATAAGAGAATTTAATATGGGTTTAACGACACAGGGGCAGCGCAACACGAACGGACGTGGAGCGACTCGCGACATGCGGAATTGCAGGAGTCTGCTGTCGGGAGTATGAGTGGATGTCGGTATCAGCCGGGGCAAGAGTAAAGAAGAAAGAGAGAGGAGGGGGAGGGAGAGAGAAAGAGGAAATGAGAAGTTTGATGACGGGAGCGATATAAGGACGCTCGAAATAGGCGGGTATTGATCTGAGAGCGACTTTAATTCTTGTGGCAATTCTCTCACGTGCCTCTGTGTGTCGAACACCAGATGGTGGATACCGCCGTCAGGCCTCGGTCAGCTGAAGATTTATCACTCCGCGAAACTGTATCGTCGGCGAGAGAGTGAGAAATAAATGGAGAAATAGAGACAGTAAGAGAGAAAGGGGAGAAGGAGAGAATGTCTCGCTCGCGGCGCTTAAATGTTGTATTAGCTCGTCAACCCACGGTGAATGGCGAAGCGCTTTAATTAAAGCGAGATCTAACGGTACGTTCGTCCTAATGAAAGTTCAGAGCGCGCGTGAAGCACCGTCGTCGGCAGCGGGTTGAAAAATCGCCGCTTTATCTTGCTTGCTATCTTAATAATCGGATAATTACGCGCTGATCTGTAAATCGCGGCGCGCTAGTCCGACTTATCTCAGCCGTGTATGCGTTCGCACGCTTTAGAGTACGTGCCCGCTCTTATCGATGGATTAATTAACATATCAACCGGTAGCAGACGACCCCTTACGGCAGCCCGGAGGACGCGAGGCCCTTTATTTTCGTACATGGAAAAAATGGTTGATTCAGCGAATCTACAAGTTGCCGGACGTTTCAATTAGACATTTTAACCAAGCAGATTCGCGGAAAGTTTTGCGTGGAAATAACTGTCAATCTGCTCATACATGGAAAAAAATGAAATAACAATCCAAGACTTACTTTATATTCTAATAAACGCGATCATCTTAATATATAAGCAAGAATATATTATTTTTCTACAATTTAATATTTTTGAATTTCAACAATATTAATAAGTATATATTCATAAGTATACTTTTGGTAGTATATATTAATAAATTCAGATTTATTTGAATGGTTGCAGGATAGATATTCTAGATATTTCAATGAGCATTGTTGTTGCTTTACCTAACTTCTACTACTGAAGCAACTAATTATTTAGCTATAGATATAAAATCCGTTAATATATCAAATAATATAACATCAAAAAATTTGTTGCATATACTGAACTATTTTCCATTGGTTGTGGTATAGAATCATTTTTTCTGTTCACTTAACAAATCTGCTGTAATTGTCAAACAGGTACAGCTACAAATCTTGTACAGTCCGTGATACATGATTGCTGTAACATAGCAAACTGGTTGTTCGTATATTACGGCTATAGATTTGTCAGCGAGAGTTTCGATCGTGACAACAAATCTCTTTTTCCTCGTGTATTTTTTGCTCAAAGAAATATCTTGGCAGAGCCGATGAGTAATGGAGGATATTTGATCACTTCGTTGGAATTTACTCGAATTTCAAAGGGACTTTTTGCTGTTATGACGGAGTTCCGTATAACGCGCGCACGCGCTCGACAAAAGTCTCGCGGGCGAGCGCACCGTGAATTTTTCACGACAGTCAGTATCAGCTCAGTATATCGCACATATAACGATATGCTGTCACTAAATGTTCTGCAAACATTTGTCCTCGTATTATTTTCCGCTCTTTCTTCCGTACCGCGGCCGCTCTATATATACGTACGCATAATGATGACGTGGACGGAATAAGGTTGAGATAGAACTAAAAATGTGCTTACCGTGCGTGAACTGAGAAAATCATCGAAGAGAATTATGTCACCCGCCACTCGCGCGCAATACGCCACGATTGCGGTGCAAAATTTCGCCCAATTTTTCGAGCGACATCCCTGCTAGCTGCACGATATTAAATACTTGCTTCATCAATTCAGGCTTAATCAACACGTGATTTTACTTCGGATCAATCACAAATTATTTAGTCACTAAAAGCGCATAATTTTTTTGTGATGTACTTAGAAGACAAATTACTTTTTTAGATCCAAAAAAGTAACAATCTTTGGGAATTTACTTAAAGAAAATCATGAAATGAGAAAGCCACAATATCTAAGAATTTATTTAAAGGAAACTACTTAAATGAATATATTTGTATTATATACATGTATATTAAGTACATATAGTCACATATATATCTAACAATATATAAAAAAGAATTATAGATTATAGATTATTTTTTGCATGGAAATTATATTACAGCATCTCTATTACCTACAGCTCTTGCACGCCTTGCTGATTTGCATGATTTACACGTATAATAATCCAATCAAAAAGATAAGAAAATGTTTCTTACAAAATTGTGTTGTAATTTTCAATCAAATTGAACTTTCTAGCTAATTCTCAAAAAGAAATTACAAATTTTTGTCGAGAATTGCTTCTGTTTTTTTTTTTGTAAAAAAGAAATTTCTAAAAACTAAAATTAAGATACAAATCTAAGAGATGTGCAAGATCTGCAGACTTTGATGTTATGACGTCACATTTTCGCCCAAGAAACAATATATAATTACTTTTTTATACTTTTACATATACATATATAGTTAATATATTTAATATATACATATAAAATTCAAATACATTTATTTAGTAGCCTTCTTTAAACGAATCTTGTTATTGTGGTTTTTTCTGCCTTAAATTTGTTCCTTTAATTAATGAGATAACATCGAAGGAAATTAATGCAGGAGACTTGATATTTTTCCGGATATATTCGATGATTCCGTAACGCTTCCGCCGATGTATTAAGCACTTGCGAGATGTTGCATGGTTGTATATCAGTCCGCAGTTATTGGTCATCTGCCGTCGCGAAACGATGACGGAGGGCCGTTTCCCTAAAGGAACTCGAAATGATTTTCGCGTCTGCGGCAGACAGATAACGCGCTCAAACACAATGTCGCTGCGCCCGGCCGGTGTCTGCCGAGCATCGAAAATCAATTTGCGACATGCGCCTCCTTTCACGTCACGCGCCGCTTTACGGTCGCTGAAAACGAGAAAGAAAACGGGCTTTCATACGCCGCCGAGCCAAATGATAAGCGTCATCATTCACGTCGCCTCGATTCGTTCCGACGATACGGAACGTAATGACGAATTAGCCGTTGGACGAAAACAAATAAATGAGATATAAACGAGAAAGAAAAATAAAGGGAAAACTACGCGTGCCGCGCGTAGTGTTAAACGAATTGATATTGTTTCACGGCCGAAGCGATATTTCAAATATCCCGCGGCAGTCCCGTGACGATCTGTAAAACAGTTGTAAAGGGAAAATAGAACGTGTGTCCGGAAGTATACATTTTCATTTAGCGCAAACGAGTCGCCTGTTCGATGAAACCACTTTGTATCGATATAACGCGGTAAGAGAGAGTAACATATTGTTTTTCTACTCTTACTCTTATTTTACGTCGCGAGCTGTCGTAACATATTTTTCTTGTTTTTTTTTAATTTTTCATCTCTGTTTCCTGTTTTAGTTTTGTTATCGGACTTGGTCGCTATTTCCGGCGTGGTGGAGTTCGTCACGCGTGCTTTTTCTGTTGCCTCTCGACTCTCTCACTCTGTTATCGCGGCCAAATTTATCATTTTTTACTCGGGTAATATACTTGCCGATTGCGCGATTGCGCGATGAAATTCGCGAGCTCTCAGTACTGCCGTACTTGGCTCTCTCTCTTTATTTTGCATAGAAATAGAAGACTAATTATATCACTTTTATAATATATGCGCATCGCATACTCAGGCACCTTTCCATCGTTGTGTTTCGTGCAGCTATTTCAAAATATCTATCCTCGCATGTGTTTAATCGCCACATATTTTTTTCTTATTCGTACACGTGACACATGACGCGATAAACACTCACGATACAAACCACGCGGGAAAAGAGTCTTCTGTAACACGCTATGCAATTTTATATTCCGTAACCGGCGGTTTACGCTTTGTCGGGCATGGCGAGAGAACGTTTTCCTATCCATTATGTAAATAAACGATTATACCAGTAGCAGGTCGCGGCTTGTTCACTGTGCGATCGTTATCGTACTCAAACCGGCAGAGAAGTAATTCGCGTGTCGAGACATTCGCGCTCGTTGCGTTCTCTCTTTCTGTGAACTCGAAAGAGAGAGAGAGAAAGGGAGACTCCGATTGGAGAGATTTATCGTTCATCGATCGGTTTTAAAGTAAAAGTACCAATGCCCGGACACGCGCCTGGAAGAATGGTCTTGCAGTTATGTAGCAAAAATTATCTAGATACGAGAAATCAGCTGAAATGAACAAACGACTAGCAAACACCTGGATATTGTATATAATCAATATAGATGACAGACAAAATTTCTCTATTCTTTCTTCTGAACTATTTGTAAAATTGAGCAAGAAAGTTTACGTGTGGTGTCCACCTGAATTAAGACCAGTCACACTTCTTGGAAAAGTAGTAGACAGGAAAGATTACCAACGAGAGACAAACGAGCGCATAATGTTCATTCCCCCCTAAATTTGTTTGCAAATATTGCATTAAATGCTGCTGCTGTAAATTCTACGTATCACAGATAATTTTCTAACAGACATCAGAAACAGTAATCAATTTTAACTGTGACATTTAAAATTCTATTTGGACCAACAAAATATTTTTTCGAATGCGTGCCTGATCCTAGGAATTCTTATTGTTTTTTAATATGAATATATTCAAACTTTCAATATGTATTCTGTGTTGAGGACATAAATATTCGAATTTAAATATTAAAATGAGAAAAATGTTCTGGATTAAGTAAGTGTCCGAGAATTTGTACTTTTACCTTAATATCTAATGAATTCCCGGATCGATCGCGTCGTATTATTTTCGAAACGACCGTTCGCTACAATTAGAAAACTTATTTGACTTTATTCTCATTAATATGACGTGACACAATGATCGATTTGTGAGCGAATTAGTTTTCTACGCTTGGGAGGAGTGTTCTAACGTTAGAGAGAGTCGGGACTCGCTTCAGTGAGATGGTTTATCACCGAATTATCACGATCCATTGAATATCGGCGATTTGTGGTCATTAATACGTCCCAGAAAAGTATTCGACGATACTCATCTTCCTCTGGTCGGGATTGAAATCCGGAAAAACGTCGTTACCTGAAAGAGACGTCGATGAGAAACGGCTCTATCGATTGGAAACTCGTCGTATCGTGCTTTTATGACGTTTTATCTTAAATTAGAGTATTATAAACTTCGCAACGATCGCGCGCGCACGATAAACGACGAGTGCGTAGTGAAGAGAGAAAGGTACGGGCTCTGCCGATCTGATAACTTGCGTGCATAATTTCCTCGTACTTACCGCGCTAGATAATCGCATTTGTTCCTCTATCAGGCGGGCGATCGTATTCTACCTCGCCCTCTTCTTCGAGGTGAATGCAATTTTCAACAAATTCACCACCGGCGCCTCGAAGGCGAGGGAGATGCAGAACGACAGGAGATACGACGCTACCAGGTTACCGAAATAGATGATGAGCTTTGAAAGAAACATGTGTACGATGTTAACACCTTGTCGCGCCGATAATTCAAACGGATCGAGCTGAATTATTCGTTCGCTTTGCGATAAAGTCTGTTGCATCAGAAGCATTTTTGGACTACGGGTATTACCGAGTCGATAAGCTCCATTAATTACAAAGTCGTTATTAACCTTAGGTTGCTAATGCTATATAGCGGTACACAGAATATTTCTTTTTTCATATAAATTCTTTTTAACTTTATTATATGTTTCCAATAGTGCAGAAATAGACTGTCTAGGTAAGATCTATTTCGATAAGAAACATAATATAATTTGCTAGAAATACAGCAAATGTTTTAATAGCACATTTCAGTTCCTGAAATATAAATAATCCATTTAAAATAAAAGGAAAGATATTTACTAAGAACATAGTAAATTTCACTAGAAACATAGTCGACTTTATAATAGCACATTTCAGTTTCTAAAATACAAATGTGATACATTTGAAATGAGAGAATAGTCAATTATTGTAGATCTATTAATGTCGATCTATTCCTCGATTACAAAATTCCACAGTAACATTTACTATAAAATTTTCTCTGTGTAGTTCGTCATTGCCAATGTGATGTCATTTCGATGCTCTCAATTGTTCCCTTGTAATCTGCCTTAATGTCTTCATTTTTTTTCGCAGAAGGAAAATAACATCACTTGCAAACATTGTTTTTAATTAAATTGTTATTCAAAGTGTAAGTCAAAATAATTAACATTGGCAATCTAAGGTTAATAATGAAAAATAGGTACGTGTTGAATTTTTCCGTTTGGAAAATATGTCGTATGAGGGGAAATTTAGTAAGCGTGAGAGAGAGGAAGGAAGGAAGAAAGGAAGGAAATAGCAGTCATTCGTGACTCGATCCAATAATTTTACAATCCGAAGATCGATCCTCCTCCTCCTCCTCTGCTCCTCCTCCTTCTCTTTCCGTCTTACCACAATTCCATTGTGAAGATGCAGCGGCCCGTCCATCTGTGTACTCGTGATTGTCATGATAACGGGATGCACCAGATAGGCGCAGTACGTGAGCCGCGAGAGAGGATACATTAGCCTAAGTGAGAGCAAACCGTTGATCATTCGTGCTGAGCCCGTGCAGCATTGGATCACGATAAAAGCCACGGCCATTGCCCACGCGGTATGACCCAAGGCTGCGTACACGGAGCTCGTTAGCACCGTGAGATTTCCGGGGTAGAGGCCGTACACCACCGAGAACATGATCATCGCGGACAACGTCCAGCCGATCAGTCCCGCTCCCTGTTGAATTGATAATTCTAATAGTAGATTTATAATTCAATCATGAGATAATTACGATACATTTGCAAGCTGATCTGTATTGATCATTTTTGGAAATTGGCTTAAGTTTCGCGCGGATTATGAAAACAAAAAAAAGAACATAATAAAAGTTAAATAGAAAGAAAAGAATAACGGGAAAGAAAATTGGACGGAAAGTCCCCGCAGCAAAGACACCGTTTAATATCGACATCTGTGCACTTATCGTTAGTGCAAATTATCGGTTATCCGTCGTCGTCGTTGTTGTTTTGTATTTTGCATAATCGCCCTCACCAGCTTGTTACCATCATCGCTATCCGCGTTCTTATCCGCGTTCGATACGCACGGATTTTGTGCAATTACGTCTCCGGTAAGCATATGTTTATCCTGTCCACGATGTGAGCGGAATACGCGTTGCGCACGAATATCTCGCGGATTGATGCGGACTATCAGTTGGAAAGCGGAAAAACCGCCGTGTAATCGCGCGTGTCCACTCACCACCGGCAGCTTCAGCTGGCATTTTGTTTTGAAGAGGATGTAGCCGGTGATCGTGCCGATGAAATACGGTCCCGCTCTCAACCAGGGCTTGTCGTAGAGCTCGTCGAAAAGCGCGAACGGTTCCTGGATTCTGCGCGAGAAGTTTGACCAAGTAATTATCAGAGCGTGCACGCAGTAGCACGTGGTGAAATTGCCGCGTGACCGTACAGCGCTAACAAGTAAATCTACTTTTGCGTCACTCGCCAATTTTACTGAAACTCAGTACACTTGTAGAGTAGCGAAATAATAATAAATATGTATTTTTTTATATGCAATGGTGCAATTTTACGGATGAAAAACACTCTCTGAGAGATAATTTGGCATATTTGGTTTTGAGGGAATATCTTCGAAATAGATAAAAAAATCAAATAAAAGTTAGTAATAGTAATTAACGTTCTTGAAAATAGTATAATCAAATTTTGCAATAATTTGATATTTTACAAAACACCTTCACCACCATCAATTAATTTTGCAAGATATTAAATTATTGCAAAATTTGATTATACTATTTTCAAGAACATTAATTATTATTGAACTTTTATCTGACTTTTTTTTCTCACGGTTTTGGAGATATTTCCTCAAAACCAAATATGCTAAATTATCTTTTAGAGGGTGTTTTCACTCTTAAAACTACACCATTGTCGATATTAAAAAAAGACTATTATTCTATGTCTATTATTTTTTATTACTCTATGTGTACCGAGTATACTGAGTTTCAATAAAATCAACAAAGGCACAAAGATAGATTTATTTGTAAATACCGCGAGATATTAGAATAAACTTTATATCCCACAGATAAATTTTCAAGTAATTTTCAATTTTTTTTCAGTGCACTAATAGCGTTTTTTTTCTATGTGGGGGACATGAACACACATAATTATGTATATACAGAAAAAATCGCACTTTTCGCGATAGTTAATTTTATTCGGATCACAAAACTTTTCATCAGGAATTTCTTTTAAGACTATTTCATGAAAAAAAATATTTTATTTGAAAGGGATCGATGACTGAGCCTTAAAGAATTTATTCCGCGCGTCGCCGATCGTGTTCGGGCGAAGCACGAGATATGTAACGCGAGTAATCGCGGCGGATCGAGCATTACCTCGCTATGTAATCGTTGCTGTAGGCTATGGAAAACGTGGTGAACCATGAAGAGGCGATCAGCAACGAAACGATGGCGACTACGGTCTTGAAATACTTTACCGAGAGCAAAAGAAGGAATATTCCAAGGACGTAAAACTGAGTGTCGTTCGCTAAGTACCAGCTCCACAACATGCACTAGAATGTATATTAATAACAGTAATTATAATTACTTGTCGGCAGATTATATAATCACATGTATACAGGTGCCTGCGCAGGGGTTACGAAAGTTTCGGGCGGAAAGAAGGAGAAAAAGGAAAAGAGTAGAAAACTCGGGCGAAGGAAAATTCGCGTTCGCGAAAGGCAACGCGTTAAGTATCGCCTTGAAGTAAAAATCGACCCGAAAACGCCTTTCCCTCTCATTGCTCGTTGAAAGTTCTGCATTAATGAAAACTCGTTTTTACATAACCGCGTGTTACGTAAAATTTCGCAATATAACCGTGTTTATTGTCTCTAATTATTGTGTGTTCGAGTTTCGACGCAAGGCAATTCTTCGTTCTGTGTCTCGACTGCGAGAGAGACCGCGTTCTCTGCACGGCATTTTCTGCACCGAGCGTTCTCTTGCACCGAGCTTTCTTCTCATCGCGATGTTTTCCTGAAGACTCTCATGACACGCACTCGCGACAAGTGCTGTTGCAAAATAAACGAACGAGGCGGGTTTCATATCTTGCCGAGAGCCAAGGCGAGGAAAAGAATTACGCATTAAGTTATGCGAAACATCAGTCATCTTACCATTTCCCTGTGTGGATACAGCGAGTTCACGTAAAGGACGTTTCGCCACCAGAACTTCTCGCAATTCAGGTGGTCGATAATAATGGGCGAAAAGACTGTTTTCGCTTGAGCCTGCTTTATGATCTCGTTCATCTCCAGCACAAAGAGATAAGCCGGCGTCAATCTTCGGGTGAAAAGGAAGTGTCAGTATTAGATTCGTGTTACAGTTCAGCCGAACTCGATCGAATTATTTTGCGTCGAGGGACGTTTCTTCACGTAATTCTCCCATTTAAATTATCGTACTGAATCACAAGTAACTCGTATTTAAAGACTCGATTGTCAATTAAAACAAATCCATAATATGTGTGTACTACAGACTTTCAGTAAAAAACGTTCTTTCCTCAGAAAGAATGTTTTGGAATGCAACTTTGCAGTGGAATCTTGCTCAAAACAAATCTATACTAATATAAAATTATAAAGAAATATGTTGAAACATAATTTTGTTAGATAAATAATAAGTTGGTGAGTGATCCTTTTGATACACCGTTGAAATCATGACAGTGCGTGATTAAAACTATTTAAGGTAGAATACAGATCCTCTCCTGAATTGTTTGAAGAAGAAAAAGGATCGATATTCGCTGGCCGCGTCTGGAAAGTTATTTGTGACTCGGCTTCAATACGTAATATAACTCAAATATACCTAACGAATCGATATAAGATCATTATAATGAACTTGGTGGAGCTCGTCCTCAAGAAGCTTCCCTTCTCGTTGCCGAGGTTGCCCAAGGATCGGTAGAACAGTATAGTCACCAACAGGCCGCTGCGCAACATTTGTTAAAAATTACTTCTTCCTTAATCGGGACGAAAGTTCGTCACGCCGCGCGACGCGTCTCACCTGATGAAGAAGAAAGTGTCGACGGAGAAGGTGGCGTTGCTGATGGTCTGGAACATGAAGTTCCTCTCGGTGACCGTCCGCAGCGTCTTGTTCTCTGTAATGAGGAAAGGCTCAATCGCGAAATGGTCGGTGAAAGTGACACGCTGCCGCGCGAGAGATGCACGCGACAAGGAGTCTCGATTGCCGGGAAAGTCGATGCATCCTATTACATCACAGAGCGGCTGTATCGATTGCGTCGTAAACTATTTATAGAAAGTAGAGCGATCCAATTAATTTCAAGTGCCACGTTAACGACGATACAACCCGCCGCGCTATTATCTCCTACTCTTCCGGGATTCGCGCACGTGGTTGACGCGAGCATGGACGGGATCATTCTCTCTCTCTTTTCTCTCTCTTCCATCCTTTATTTCTTCCGCGAACTCTTGCAAAATTACCGGCGATAGAGAAGACTTGGAGATACGTATGCACCATGACGACCCATCCCAGCGATAGTACTCGCAAACCATGCAGGCAGGTCAGATTATCCTTGGCCGCGGGCTCCGTGCTAATGATCTTGCTTCCGTTGACGGTGGGACTGAACGCGAGCAGACACTTCAGCCAGAATCCTGAAAGAACGACGGCGATGAAGGGCTCTGAGAGAGGGATTAAGGCTACCTTCGGCGCAAGAAAACGCCGACGGGGACGCGTATGTTAACGACCTTCCTCGCGCTCCTTCTTCTGGATCGGGCTCTCTTTTTGCGGATGCTTCGCTCCCTTCTCGATCAGCTCCTGCCCGTTCTCCGGCCCCATCGCGATCCTGTGTTCGTCGTTGAGATTCTTGTCCATAAAATCATTGGTTTTGTCGTTGTTGTTCGACGTGCTCGAAGACTCTGTGTCCTTCACCGGGGAAAACGATCTATACTCGTACACGGTCGCGCAAATCATCAGTAACAGTATCGCGCCGCCGATGGCCCTGCAATAATAATCGACGTTCGATGGAAAGCGCGTCTCCTGCCGCGTACACATCGCGGAACGGTGCAAAATTAAAACGATATTGCCTTGCGACTTCAACTCTCTGCGGTCTGCGAGGTATTTTCGAAGGTTCTCTGCTCGACAGGGGCGAGCATTTTCAACCAGCTTGAAGCGCTTGCTTCGATATTACTCATTTAATTAATGCGAGAACACGTTCAAGCGGAGTATTACATTTACATATTAAGTATGACGCATAAAAAGAGTTATTTCGTAAAACATGATTTAGAAGACTAACACCGACGAAACATTTGACATCGAGCTTGACGTGAAATCGCGAAGGATTAATCCTCGTATCTCGTATGACAACCGTCGAAGTGTCACTCTCGTTTCATTTTTCTGTTCCTTGCTTATTCCTTTTCTTTTTTTGCAAAAAGAGGGAATTTGATCGCGTTTAAATACGAGTGTTTAAACTTCTAATATACACGAATTCTACATATTAAAAGTTTAAAAATTCATGTTGAAAAACCAAAAGATAAAGATAAACAGAACGTTCAGAGTTAAGTACCAGAGTTAGGTATTAGTGTCCAGGCATTGGTACTTTTGACTTAATATCTTTTCTCCAGATAAGAGCTCTCCTCTGGCGCAGCTTTGTACGAGCTTCTCTCTCGCGGAAATCAAGTTACTGCATGACTATCTCGAAGTAGCGGCGGGAGTGTGAAATTAACGTGTCCAGCCGGTTGCTCGTATTACAAGCCAAAAGATTAAGTGGACCGTCTAACGCTCCGTCGACGAGTACGCGCGTCGTCTCTCGAGGAGGGATGCGTTTAGCCACGGTTTTACACCCGGCTCATAAACTCGAGAAGCGTAAGAAGCCTTATATATAGCCGTGCCGCGCTTTTGTTCACCGCTAACAATACTAACTTCTGCATTCAACGCACTCGTGCATTGTGCGCTACAGAAGGGGATGCGCGTTGATGTTGATGGTTACGGTGACGCGACCGGAAATTCCGTGAGTCGTGCCGCTTAACTGAACGCATTGACGTTGGAAAAATTGCCAGAACAAGAAACAGATTATACGAGCGCCGTGCCGTGTCGCACCGCGCTGTAATAATCAAATATTTCCAAAGCGATAAGTATGCCAACTTTTTCAATTTCCGGCTGGGCGGCGCGACTGGCTACACATGGCTGTCGCTTGCCGAAGCTTAATGTTCCGAGAAATTAAACTCGGAAAACCAGCCGCGCGATTTTGTCTGCTAGTTTCCCAATTTAAATTCCCTCTTGAAATTAATAATGTCCCGACCGCGTTAATTACGATGAGAGGGAGAAAGAGGGGAAGAGTAAGCACATATCACACGTGCGTTCGCGTCGCGTATGTTCATTACTAAATGTGCTGAGAATGCTGAATATTAAATAAAGTATTATGGAAAATTCGCATTCTTTATGCACATGCGGCGAATTTAGGTTTGACTTTTTTGCGAAAAATGAAAGTATAAATTAATTTAATCAAGGATTGATTGTTCAATTGACTATTGATATGTGAAAGAAAGAAATAAAAGATTATCTGATTAATAATTGAATTCATATTAATCATGCAATTAATATATTCTCTCTCTCTGTACAGTTCAAACATTACCAACCGCCGTATAATTCTAAATTGTTTGTTATGTTTACTTTATTTTTGTACTCTTTTGCACTATTTTTTAAAAAGATATTTTCCTATAAATAAATAAATAAATAATTAAACAGAAAATTCTTTTAACTAAAGAACGTTGAATTGACGCAACTTGCTAAGTCAATTGTTAACTGAATGATTTTTTATTCTCTCCGTTCACATCAATCGTCAGTTAAACAGCCTCTAATTGAATTCGTCGAAATGGATTACTAACTAAACATTCTTCGATTAATTTTGTCCAAATGAGTTGTCAACTAGTTGGAACATATCTGTTGAAGTCGATCACTACATTGAGGGAAATTTCATTGATATTTTCAAAGTATACTAGTAATAATATTGTAAACACATGTATTCAGACCTGCAAACAAACGTTGGCAAACTGCACCGTAATTATTCGTTTTGAATTGCGAGCGATTCCGACCTCCATTTTCGGTTCTTCTCGCGAAATTTCACCACTGGTACACCGCCGGATAGAACCGCAATTCGCAATTTGGTATCGAATTACGACGAGTCCACGAGCATCGATTCGATTAATCGCACGTTTGAAATACCAACTGTTTCGCGACAAGAAAAACTAACGTCCACCGTTGGTGGTTCACATAATTTCTCATCACGGAATTATGTTGGACGTGATATTGAATTTTTTCCGAGCTGGAAGCTTAAGCGAGCCGGCTGGGATTTATAATTGACAAATGTACTCTGTCAAGTAATTAAACGAGAATTTAATAGCATCTTCATATTCTATCTCCATATTTATCAGCGTTTGCAGATCGATTTTCGTCTGTACCGACCAACCGATACAATTATGTGATGCTCGCTGAAAAATTTCAATCAATCGTTCGTTAACAGCCAAGTATGTTATTACGAATGCTCTTTGAGCAATCCAGGTTAACGTAAAAAACTATTCTCATTACTCTCCTTCTCCCTCTCTCTCCTCTTTCTCTCTCTCTCTCTCTCTCTGTCTCTCTCTTTGTTCCAGTTACTCTGTCTCTGCCGCTCTCTCTTTATCTGTTCCTTTTATCTCTCCGCGTTCATTAACGTGCGTATGATCGCGATAAATGACAGCTAAAGTTGTCGATAATATTCTTTGCCCTATTTCCGCGTCACCGACCACCAACGATGAAAACACGATGAAATATCGAAGAATAGAACGATAAAGCATGGATTCATACAATGAATTCTACACAGTTTTGGCGCGCGCGCGCTTATTTTCATGGCTAACGGCCGAGGGAACTTCCGCTTTATATTTCCCCTTGTCGGCTTTAAAATATTATTCTTTCAGGAGTAGGCCAGGGGTGAAGTGCGAGTCCCGGGCAAGTTTTCTTTTTCTCCCGCAGCGCGTTTCGGCTCGAACGCGACTGGTCGCATAAAATGAGATAGCGAGACGATTCGTTCCCCTCGCTCCTTCTCTCTCGCACTCTGTTCCTTCCTCTTTTTTTTCACATTCAACCGACATTTTAACACGCCAGTCTTGGCGCATGGAAAGGGAACAGAAGCTATCCGAAGCGAGGAAACAAAAGTTTCGCGCGGGCGAAATCCTGTCGCGCCTTTTTCTTTCGATCCCTTCTTCCCCTCGCATCTCTTGTATTTCCGCCGCTCTAGTTTAATCCTTTGACCACAGTCACCGCTTACAACTTCCACCCGCTAAAAAAGCTACTCGCCTTCTTTTTTTGTTGAGCAGAGCCTCGAGCGCGTGACGGAATAAATCGATTCGACAGAGCCCAGCTAGACAGGTGTACGTGAATTTGGCAGTAACTTTATTAGTCAATTTGTATACGGAGAGAATATCATAGTTTGTTTCATAGAAAAATTCTTCTTACCTTTATTATATTTCTAGTAGTGCAGAAATGGAGAATAAAAGTCAGTAAAATCTATCTTGTTAAGATATATAGTAAATTTCGTCAAGAACATAGTGAATCTTTTTTAATAGCCCATCTCAGTCCAACTTCAAATTCTTTGTTGCAATTTTTATTATAAAATTCTTCTCTTATATTCCTTATAAGTGATTCATATATGATATTTATCACATAATATGATAAAATAGGAATACGAAAGAGTGATCAAAATTTGTCAAAAGCAATATATCGTGCAAAATGTAATAAGAAAATCCGCACTGAGAAGAAAATGTTTGGTATTTGTAACTGTAAATATAATGGAGTAAATAGTATGGAGAACTAATTGCTATAAATTGTATTTAAGAGAACCGTTTTTTATTAAATTTGACTATGTTAGTGGTAATAACTTTATATGCATGTTACTATTATCATCTTTGTGTTAGAACAACCAAAAAATATATAGTTACATCAAAATAACTTTAGTTAAATCACACACACGTAACTTTTAGTTGCATTGACTTTAGTTGCATTGAAACTTGCATTGACGTAACAAAAAACTTACATTCCTGTATGATGTAAATTTAATGATTAACACACTTACAAGTACTTTGTACTTGCCTCACGAATGTAATTATAGAGTTTCTATCATTGATTATCTCACGTCGCAATAATTATGAAAGTTTTTCTGGGAGATTTTTTTGCCAAAATTTGCCGGATGCATGATAGTTTTTGTGGCGGCGTTGAAACACAATTACACTTGCTGTGACCAGTCCTCAATTATACCTTTATCTCTCATAACAAGTCCTCGTCCGTACTCTCACACGCGGGCACGTGCACATGCTGCAACGGCTGTACACGTCGATTCCGGTGGTGAGTCAGTTCAATGCTCTGAATTCGCCGTCATTCTCGCGTCCGGTTTGATCGAGCAAGGCTCTCGTTCCATTCCGTGTCACCGTCCGAGAGTCGAGTGCTCACGCGATTTAATCGTCTCCTTGCTCCCTTTCTGATATCCTCGGATATATCGCGTCTCTCTCGCGAGTCAGGGAGGGAGAAACGCAAGAGTATTTATCGCTATCGCGTGGCTTCGCAATCGCGCACACGTCGACAACGCGTTGAAGGATTGTTTCACCTCACAATGCCGCGATATGCTAATCGTACGGCTACAGCGCTCTATAAAGTGCACCTCACGCTTGCAAAGTCGCGGAATAAATCAGAAACAGAAGAAAATGGTGCGGAAGGAGACATCCATTTAAGCCTTTAAGTGATATTATCCGTTAAGTAAAAAGTTTCGTAAAATATTAAATTCCTTTTGATTTAAATAGATGTATTTTGTATCTATTTTGTTCCATTTTTCAAAATTCTTCAAAGAAAATACTAGTGGAGAGAAAGAAATTTAGATATGCTAAAAATATTCCTTAAGTGGTATGCCCGAAAAAGTTTCGTGGTAAAATATTAAATTTTTTTTTATTTACTTAAACAATTGTATTTTTTTAA